ATCAATGCCTAGATTGTAGAAAAGCAATGAATGAAGAGAGGGGGTGGATGGTAAAAACAACACCAATCTGTCAATGTCAAAGCTACACTGTTAATGTAGCTCTCTTGCAAGCATATAAGTCCAATGAAAGCAAAATGTGCATGTATACATGTTAACACATCATCCATGCCCAGGTCCATGAAAGGTTCACAATTAACAAATACTATCTGATCGATCTGTACAGAACAAGGTCATGATAAGTAAAAATCATATCTGTATCAGGACATTAAATCACAATGGATATCTAACATTAGACATGTGGCTGAAGTTGGCCTTTCGCCATCACTGTTGCATGTTGGGCTTGCCTTGTTTGCCCTCCTCCTCTATACTCTACTACTGGCAGAGGCTGTGTACATCAAAGGATGCACTGAACAAACCTCCGGCCTTGGTCTCCTCAAGAATACAAGCAGAACAGTTTGGTTTATCCACAACATCAAATGTACAGGCTAGCAAACACTAGTTCATGAAATCACTATACTTCAGTACAAGTACTTAAAATCATATTTTTTGATGCCTCTTTCTTTGTCATGTTTTGTGTTTTTTTTTGTTTTTGTTTTCAAATGGATCCATATAGGAGGGTCATTCAAAGACACAGGCAAGTAGTATCCGTGTTGCTATACTGTTGCCTAGCAACCTTAGCATACTGCTAGTGATGAGGTTATGTGGACTTGTAGAACAGGACCACCGAGTTTAAGACAATGCTGGCTTTTCATTTAACAGTAAAGAAGTTCTTGCACTGGATCATATCATTTACAATCACACATACTTAGCTTTTGTGGTGCATTCCATTAGACTGGCCAGCCAACCTAAACACAAAGTGTGGAACAGAGTTCTGATGGACACGAATGCCAGGCAAATTAACCAGTAGAGAAACAAATGGTCCATTAGTGTCAAAACAAATTGACAGCACTTAATGTCTTTCATCTGAGGTAAAACAAATTAAATATTTTATGTAGGCTATATTTAAGAGGAAATGCCTGTATTTGTGAGCCACATGCTAGGTTTGGACTGCACTGTCAAAAAACAGTGGAAGCCTGGCTCACCAGGCTAGCGTTCAAGAATGTTACTCACCTATATACAATGAGGAGTCCTTTTTGTGGACATGGTCATCAATGTATGACACTCCCAGAGGCTGGACAGGCGTAGCTCCAATGCCCAGCAGGACCTGAGCTCCGATAAGCAGCAGGTACATCATGTTGGTGTTTGCTCGGTTGTCACAGTTGAAGCCAGAATCTCTGTTCTCTGACCTGGTCCTGTTGGAGCACACGTCCCTGCCATCCTCCGCGTGCCAGGAGTCTCCGGCTTCATACTCATACTGATGAGTCAGAAACTCGGGTAGGGCAGACAGCAAAGCCCCGAGAGCCATCACGATACCACCACATCCAATGAGACGGGGACGGTGAGCTTTGGCGCCAAAGTAACTAACAAACAAGATTAGGGCCAGGTTGCCAATCTCAAAGCTGCTTGCAATGACGCCAACATCAGCACTCTGCCACACTGACCACTTCCCCTTACCACACGACCTCTGCCACTCTAACCCACCCTGCCCCTTCTACCACTTGACCTCTGCCACTCTGACCTCTACCACCTACCTCTGACTCTACCAACCTACCACACTGACCTCTACTCTGACTCTGCCACACCTCTAACACTCTGACCACTCTGACCTCTGACTCTGACCTCTGCCACCTCTGCCACACTGACCTCTGCCACCTCTGACCTCTGCCACTCTACCACCTCTTACCCACTCTGACCTCTACCACTCTGACCTCTGCCACTCTGACCTCTGCCACATTAACCTCTACCACTGACCTCTGCCACTCTGACCTCTGCCACTTCACCTCTTGCCACTCTGACCTCTGCCACTCTGACTCTGCACCTCTCTCTACCACTCTGACCTCTGCACCTCTAACCTCTACCACTCTGACCTCTACCACTCTAACCTCTGCACACCACTCTGACCTCTGCCACTCTGACCTGCCTCTACACACTCTGACCTCTCTACCACCTTCTGACCTCTGACCACTCTGACCTCTGCTGCCACTCTACTGACCTCTACCACTCTGACCTCTGCCACTCTAACCTCTACCACTCTGACCTCTACCACTCTAACCTCTACCACTCTGACCTCTGCCACTCTACCTCTGCCACACCTCTGAACCTCTGCCACACTGACCTCTGCACGCTGACCTCTGCCACTGACTGCACTGACCTCTGCCACTCTGACCTCTGCCACACTGACCTCTTGCCACACTGACCTCTCTGCCACACTGACCTCTGTTACGCTGACCTCTGCCACACTGACCTCTGTGCCCTTCCACACTGACCACTCCGCCTTGCCACACTGACCTCTGCCACTTCGACCTCTCCACCCTGCCACACTCACCTGTGACCTCCACACCTGCCACGCTGACCTCTGAGGGCGCGGGTGTGGACGAGCCGTGAGTCTGCGGAAAGAATCAGCCAGATGCACGTTTTCGCCGGACACCGCGGTGGTCTGGAGCGGTAACCCAGGTAACCGGCCCAGTACGTACACTCGCACTCGTCAATGTAAACCCGACGTAACATGGAAATCAGCACACGTGTTTCTTGTCATTAAGTTATTTATAAAGTCGTTTTAGATGAATATGAAGATCTAAAACGTCCAAAATAAAACAGAATGATCCACGGGTGTCATAGATTATAGTCCCGGCTCGTCTCCATGGAGATGATGGTTTCCCTGGAATGTTTCAGGGTCTGACATTAAACGTATTCATCTTGCCTTTTGTCTTATATTACATTGATTTTTGTTATATCTTAGAGGTTTTTATATGAACAAAAATAATGTTACACACTGACCCTCATATCGAGACCGCTTATACAATACCTGTAATAATTCTGGGTAAGACATTTTGCTGAAATACATGGAATAAAATCAGGTGCGAGTGCCTTTTAACACTATTGCTCAAAGAATGCCAGACACAGGAAACCAAAATGTAGTCCAAGCTAAACGCTAGCTTTAGCCATTCCAGCTGTGTGACTAATCCTAAGCTACGCAAACAGACAAGAGCGCGAGACAACACACAGACCTAATTCACTTCAAATATTTAATTTGTTTGGTGATTATAGCTGGTAGGGTCTAGAGTATTTGAGCTACTTTGCTGTCAAAACATATTTTTTGCCAACTTAAGTAACTAAAATTGACAGTTAACTGAGGATAAAGCTCATAGAAACTGTATTTAAAGGCTCTGTACCAAATGTTTCCACTTTATTTGAGCAAAATGTGTCTTGCTCCAGTACGGATTTATTGAATAAGCAGCTTTTGAGGTCAATGTAAGTCTGCTGTGTCATGTCTGCATTATTATTATTATTTATTATTATTATTTTTTAATGCTTTTTCAAGTTTTTAACAAATGTATATAAAAGAACACTGTGGGGTTCTACAAATAAAATAAAATAAAATAAAATAAAATTAAATTAAATACATTATAAATCGGAGTGAGCTTTGTAAATATAATTTTGACCACCGCTTCTCAAATTGACCAGCTTTCACTCTCAATACTGTAACCTTCCATTATATCTATCCATGTCTGCATCTAATTTTAAAGAGTTTTATCGTCCGATAATCAGTAAGTGAACCGTTAGTATGCTAGTTGCTTTTTGCGTCGCAAAAACAGCAGCGGCAACATTAAGTGGAGTCAATATAACCACCCTGGCTTTCGAATTAAAACACCCAAATGCAGTTTCGGAGAGGCCAGAGGAGTGATTTTATTTCCGTATGAACTTGCTTTGTCCGATAATGAGTAAGTGAACTGTTAGCATGCTAGTTGCTGAGGGCAACACGTCACACATCTCTGGAAGTTATGAAAAGTGTTTATAAACTCATCACGGTGAATCGTTAGGATGCTCTGAATGCGTAAGGGAAGTGAGGAATAACTTTGGACCACTGCAAACTGTTAAAAATAAAAGCCCATGAGACTATTCTCTATAAACATACAAAAGCATGATACAAAACAATTCACTACGACTTCACAAACCTGATGTGATGTGCAGTGCTTACATCGTAATGTGATGAATGTAATGTGTGCTCTGAATGGGGAGTGGCTTAGCGTGGAGAGCAAAGGGAGGTGGGACTCCGAGTTAAACTCATTAAACATGTTTTTGTTTTTCTCAATGAATATAGCCTTGTCCAAACAGTTAAAGGTAACATGGTGATTACATGTGTTATGGGTTAAAGGGCCCATGTTATGCTATTTTCTCATCTCTGTTAAAATGCTGTTTCCTCATCACAAACAGACCTGGAGTTGTGTTTTGATTCATTTACATGTTTAACACACAAACCTGCAGATTTAGGCTAAAAATGGCCACCCATTCAAGTCAATGGGCCAAGCTCAAGACAAGGCATGTCAAATGTATTTGTATAGCATAATTCATACACAAAGTATGTGCTTTGCAGAATAAGAAATACATTAAAATCACAATACAAACAAATCAAAACATAAATAATCATCGTAAAATTAAAGAGAGAGAGAGACATTAAATGAGAGAGAAGGGTGCAGAATGAAAACCATTCAGTTGTACACAGCTAAACAGAACAGTTTTGAGTCTGGGTTTAAACAGAGTCTTAGTAGAGTCTGTCTCACATCTTCACGAAGACTGTTCCAGGTTTAAGCTGCTGCATGAATCTGAAACTCTGACTCCCCGTGTTTAGTCTTGACTCTGGGCACCAGCAGGAGGTCGGTCCCTGAGCTCCTCAGAGTGTGAGATGCTTCACATGGCACTAACATGTCACAGATGGTACTTTGGTGCTCGGCCATGGAGAGACTTGTTACACAAACAGAGACGCTTCAAAGTCTGTGAGCCACAGGGGGCAGTGCAGAGACCTGAGCACAGGACTTATGTGCTCATACTTCCTAGATGGAGTAAGGCTGCAGCGTTCTGGATGTACTGCAGCGTCTCACAGCTCGTTTGGAGAGGCCAGTGAGAGGCTGTTACAGTAGTCTAATACTAAAGCTCAATGGCACATGTCTCCAGATTAGCCTAGCCCGGCTAGGTACTTCCAGAGGCTCCCTGCCCATTGAACAAGTGCAGTAGTGCTCTTTTCTCCAGTGAGCACATGTCAGCACACACGAACACTTGCAAGGAACACAGTCTTGTGTATCACGTGATCACTTTGAGTAATCAGAGCGAGAGGAGAGCTAGAGTGGAGTCGGAGCAAAATGATTAAAAAGTTTTTTTTTCTTTTTTAAGACAAACGAATTTTTGAACTGAGAAAGTTTATTATCTGAAAATAGGTTAAAATCTCCATGAAATCCAACGTTTTTGAAAACTGTAGGAGGCCTGTCAGCCGAACACGAGCAGTTTGTGATTACATTGCGCTCTGTGGGAAAAATGCTTTCTGGGCTGGAGGGATTTTTTCAGTGTAGTTCCAGTGAGTGGCCACTACACCAACTCAAGACAACTACAAGCAGCAACACTCTATCCAGTTATTTGAACAGATCCATGTTTTTTAAACTCCATCGACCTGTATTACAATAATTTGGATAATTTCAGCTATAGAGTTTTGAATCTCTACTTAACTGAAGGTGAGCATTTTGAGTTCTGTTACTCAAACATGTGTGAATGAAACAAAACAAAACAAAAAATTAATACCATATAGAAGTAAAATACCCCATTTTTTATGTCAACTTGTCCTAAAGCATCCTGGTGTAGTTCTGTCTCCAGACTTTCTTGTTTTCGGTGATCCACAGATTTACAAATTACTGTTTCTATTTGGCTACTACTAGTACACTGAAATAATATGAATAGATGCTAGCACTTCTCTATAAAATACAGTGTTTTCAATAAATTAATCTAGGTGTCTTGTACTGACTCCAGGATTAGGCTGTCTCATCAAAACCAGTCGAACAACAATTGCACAGATCTACCTAAACCAGCACGAACATGCCCCCTTCATGGTTCACCGCAGTAATAAGCAAATAT